CTGCTGTTTGACGCGCGCAACAGAGGGAAAACGCAGCAGCCGTAGCTGCTGTTTGACGCGCGCAACAGAGGGAAAACGCAGCAGCCGTAGCTGCTTTTTGACCCGCGCAACAGAGGGAAAACGCTGCAGCCATAGCTTTATTTTTTTAGGGTGTTATACAATGATTACCAAACAAATTATGAAGAACCCACATGGGTTTGGTACAAGAAATTCATATAAGAAAAAGACAGTTTGTGATAGAAGACACAGAAAGTATGAAGTCTTTTTAAAGATGGAATCTTTAGAGAGAGAGAGAGAGAGTTATGTTATGCAATTACTGTCATTATATGATGAAAGTAGCATCATGAAAGACAAGATTATGAAGTTCAAACTGTGGTGAGTTATGTTCAGGTGAGTTATGTTAATTTTGCAAGTTTACTGTTTATGTTCTTCTTTATCTTTATCTTTTAGCTCAGATTACAAAAACAAACAGTCTTATTGATTCAGATTTCAGATTTCAGACGTAAAAACAAACAGTCTGACTAATTCAGATTTCAAATTTCAGCACCACCTCTTAAAATTCAGAAGTGAATTCAGACTTCAGACTTCAGCACCTCTTAAAAAAACAAACGCCACCCAAGTCTTTAGACTTTCTAACTCTAAACTGTAAGTCTTAACTCTGAAGTATAAGAGTTTCGAACTCTGAATTGTAAGTCTCAACTCTGAAGTCTAAGTCTTCAGACTTTCTAACTCTGAACTGTAAGTCTCAACTCTGAAGTACAAGTCTTCAGACTTTATAACTCTGAACTATAAGTCTTAACTCTGAAGTATAAGTCTTCGGACTTTATAACTCCGAATTGTAAGTCTTAACTCTTAAGTATAAGTCTTCAGAGTTTCTAACTCTGAACTATAAGTCTTTACTCTGAAGTATAAGTCTTCAGACTTTATAACTCTGAACTGTAAGTCTTTAACTATGAAGTATAAGTCTTCAGAGTTTCTAACTCTGAACTTATAGTCTTAACTATGAAGTATAAGTCTTCAGAGTTTCTAACTCTGAACTGTAAGTCTTAAGTCTGAATTATAAGTCTTCAGACTTTATAACTCTGAATTGTAAGTTTTAACTCTGAAGTATAAGTCTTTGGAGTTTCAAACTTTGAACTGTAAGTCTTAAGTCNCTCTGAAGTATAAGTCTTTGGAGTTTCAAACTTTGAACTGTAAGTCTTAAGTCTGAAGTATAAGTCTTCAGACTTTATAACTCTGAATTGTAAGTCTTAACTCCGAAGTATAAGTCTTCAGAGTTTCTAACTCTAAACTGTAAGTCTTAACTATAAAGTATAAGTCTTCAGAGTTTCTAACTCTGAACTGTAAGTCTTGACTCTGAAGTATAAGTCTTCAGAGTTTCTAACTCTGAACTGTAAGTCTTAAGTCTGAAGTATCAGTACTTTCTAACTCTGAACTATATAACTATTGCCAAGTACCACTGAGCCAAATCGAGTAATGCATACTAAAAATTATCACATTTGAGTAATAAAAAATAACAATAGCAATCATATATACAATGGCTAAACGATTTAAACAGATAATGTATAATAATTAAACTGTGTAAACTGTAACAAAACTAACTGTGTATCCTCCCCTTGGGGAAAACGAGTCATGGAAACTCACCTGAGTTGCTGAATAATTGAGCAGCAGTAGAATTCTGTATTTTACTTCATTCTTTTCTTTCGAACTGA